TCATGCTTTTAACTGTTTAATACCACACTAATGAAACACATTCTGTCACTTGGTTTGAGCAGGAAAGCATCTCTATTTTTGTTTCAGTACAAATGCATTTGTTGCATTAAGTCAAGTATCTTTCACATAATGACCTTGAACACTAGTCGCCTCTGGAGAGGCTTTGGTCATAGAGACAAAGATAAAAGATAGGGAATTAAATGCTTGTGTTAATACAGGAGAGAAATGTCATGATCACTTACTTTTCGGGGTTTTTTTTGTTTGTTTGTTTGTTTGTTTGTTTTTCTTCCCTAACATGGAACATTTCCTTATGTGGTGCCAGCTACATAACTTGCTTTTATAGTGTTGAATTTATAAATCTAATTTAGAAATGGACCCTGTTGGTTTCTGATTTGCTGTGTTTTCATAATGCTGTCATCCATCTGATGCTTGGTAGCATGTATATTGCTATAAAGCAGGGATAGGCAAAGTCCATTCTTTAAATTAGTTTTGTCATCCACTTTTAATTCTGAGGTGAGCAACTCAGCCAAAGATGCCTAATTTTATCAAGTTTATTCAGTGCTCTCATCAGAATTTTACACAGACCAGTAAATTTGGCAGAGAGATTAGCCCAACTGTAATTAAAATATTTATTTCCTTCATTCAGTGGGATTCAAAATGAGAAATATTTGACTGTATCAAAGTTGTTAATAAGAAAGCAAAAACTTGAAGGATTCTTTTTTATTTTTACACAAGAGACTTAAAGAAGAGAACAGTATGTGAAAAGTTTGGGAAAAAATGAGTTTTAATTCTTCACATGGCAGGTCATTTGCTTTACTTTTTGCAAAGAAGAGTAAGTGGTGTTAAATCATCTATTTCACAAAACTCAGCATCTGTTAATATCACTTTGATATACTGAATATAATACTTAATATTCAATGTGTGATAACTATGTAATATTTTTAGCAAGGCTTCACAGCAAAAATAGTGTGTTAATGTATCTTCAAATTTTTCTATTCGACTTTTTCTGCTTCTGCTGTCAAGTCATATCATTATGAGTATGTTGTTTCATTAAAAAATTGGTGGTCTAACACAGTATTTGGAGACAGATATCTTATTTAGATGATAGTGATTATTTTATCTGGTTGTTTAGTTAGGCTTCCTGCTATCAGATTTTATAAGATTATCATTATCCTTACTGTTGTTGATTTTATTTTACATAGCCACTTCCAGCCCCTTTCATATTTGGTAATATCAGACTTCAAGGGATATTTTACTAATATCCTTCATCATAAGCTTTTCATAATTCATGTAAGCTGTGTTAACTGGTAAAATGTAATTACCTGAGGATGAATAATAAAAAAAATATAATTTAATGAGTATTGTGTAGGTGCTCAAAGAGTAACAAGAAGCTTTATAGTTAATATCTGATGTTGCTATGCAAGCATAGTTGAGCTGTTAAATTTTAGGAATAATTTGGCTTCAACTTTCCTTAGAATGGTTCTAAAAGCTGTCTGGGTTTACAAGGTCTTGATTTTTTAAAATAAAAAATAATTGTTAATAAATTAATAAATAAATAAAGATGCCGGAAACTGAGATTCTTAAACAGCACATCTTTCACACATTTTGCTTAGGATCTCCTAGGATGCAGACAAATGCTTTCTTTCAGGAATATGAATATTTTCTGGTGAAACTCCATGTTAGCATCACTACATCTTGTAGTCACAAAACCTCTCCCACTGATGAGACATCTGAAAATAGTATAGGAATTTGTTATTTTATTGGGTCTGGCTGGGATGGAGTTATGTCATAATAAGTATCAGGACTAACACACCAGTTTCATACTAATACTCATTAATATTCACTTTAATAAAGTCACTCATTACTTCAGTTACTAGCTTCCTCTCTATAACCCTGCAAAATTTAGGAATCCTAAATTACACTCTCCAGATCCTATGGTATTAGATTTAAATGCTCCCTCTGAACATGCACATTCCCTATCACAGTCCAGGAACAGTTTCTAATGCTAGTGATGATGGCATCCAATATAACTGCAGAATTTGGGAACTGTGAAATTTAAAAGAAATTACACATTTTGATCTACTCCCAGTCTAGTGACACACATAAACTCATGCTTAATTGTAGTCAGCTCACAGCTAAACAAGAGATTAAATATTGTGTCACAGGGGACACAGTAAAATTCAGTATTAAAAGATAAAGCTTTTCTGCATGTTGCCTTAATCATGTTAGGTAGTAGATATAATTTGTGTTAAACTCCATCCAGGCTGAACCCATCTCATAATTTCTTTTAGACTACAATCACGTATTCAGACAATAATGACATACTGACACCATCAGCCTCAAATGAATTTGAATAGGTACCTTCAGAGCTGAAAGATTATTTCATACTACCAGTCCTTCCATTGCTTAGCTTCATCTCCTACTTTTTCACAAGGGTTAATATAGCCAAACTGGTGATCAGTTTACATTGGCAACATGGATAAGGACATTTATGTATAAAATAAATCCCCTCAGTGTGAGTTTAAGTTACTTCTCAAAGTGGGTCTCTCTGAATGTAGCTTCTCTATCTGCCCCTTCCAAAATTTAATATGTCATCAAATTGGTTATTATCAGTCCTGAAAATATGACTTCTTAAAGAAATGCTTCCAGAAATTGCAATGTAAAAATTAAGCTAACAAACACATGTCACAGCAGTTACACTGACACTGAGCCAAATTTATAGTTGATGTAACCACAGTAAAGTCAGTGGAATTAAGGCAATGGCACACTTAGATCTATGCTTCCCATCTTTACTGAAAAAATCGTCCAAAAAACTAAGTCCTTAAACTGGTTAGGGGGGAATACCTTTCAATGCACCCCAAAGTCTTTATGAGGTTACATAGGTTATGAAGAATTATACATCTTCACAGAGCTATGGGATCCTGCACACCTTTGAACTCATGGTAGTTCTTATGGCCATGATTTTTGTGCTCTGCCAGCTGAAGGGGATTTAATGTGGGAGAAGTTATTTTTATATTTACTGAAAGACAGGTGTGTAAAAAAGTCATATATGTGACTGTGATCATAGTGATAGATTACATATCCATGTGCAGAACTGGAGTGTGCCAGGAAAGAAACATGATGTCCACAGGTACTTCATTCTTATCTGTAAATCCTATGTTTGGAACATCTTCAGTCTCTTCTAAACCATGACTATGTCCATGCATTTAACATATATTCCTATTTATCCTTATCTAGGAAAGTATGGCTGTACTTTTCATATGACTTGCAATTCAAATGCTAAAGAGGAATTAATAGAAGAGTTCAAAATGGGAGATAATGGGACAGTTTTGCATTTAAGCACATGGTTAATTCTTGCCATATCCAGTATAGAAAATCATGTCCCAGGTAATGAATCACATGCTATCTTCTCAACAAAGCAAGATTTCTCAAGAGGAAAATTGACTACAATGTAAGTAAATGTAGAGATAAAATGTAGAAGATAGAACTTTTGAGAAGAATGATCTGGGGTGGTGGTGGGTGGTGGTGGTGGTGTTTATTTGTTTGTTTGTTTGTTTGTTTGTTTTTAATATGGTTGAAAGAAAAGCCAGAAACTCAGGAGAATGGGAAATTAACAATAATGGGAGATGTCCACTCAGCTATTACACAAATTTTAATTAATCCAAGTTTTATGCCAGGCATTTAGCTTGTGATATGACCCCTGGAAATATCTACAGCTGTTGCTACAATCAAGAACATGTTCACTATTTGCTAAGTCTCCATAGGTAAAATAAAAAGGAGATAAATCATAGTTATGGCTACAATCAGGATGTCTTAGAGCTATGTTCTGGGAAACTGGTAACTATATGCACACACACACACACACACACACACACACACACACACACACACACCATTGAAATACAATAAATATTAAGACTGGTGTTACAGAGCTTTATCTGGGTAGCTATAATTTCCAGATTATTAAGTTAATCATTTAAAAAGAACTTTCCACAACATTAATCCCATTTAAGTTTAAGATGGAAACATTCAGAATAGGAGAAGCTCTATTAGTTGTACAATGTGAAGCAAATGGGAAAACAAAATCCAGGTGAGTTAAAATTAGAAAGAAAGTGGAATTTTCTATAGCAATTAGTGAACCCATAAATATCAAGAAAAGCAGCAGTTCAGTTTGTGGTTTTTGTTATAAACTGACTTCTTAAAATTGGCTGAGTCAGAGTTCCCAATTTTGGATTTAGCAAGCAGCAACAAGCAAAACAGCACTGGGCAGCAGTGGAGTCTCCTGCTCCAAAAACGGGCCGCACCCTCCAGGGCACTCTGTTTCAATTTTATACTACAAAGTATTACATAGTCATTATACACCTATACATACTCATTACTTGAACCCACCTACTCCCTTCGTATGGTAATTAGCTTATCAGTCCTTAAACTTGAGCATAAGTTGTTAAAACTATGGGCAGGGGTCTTCAAATCATGGGCAGTGGTCTTCTGGGAGGAAGGCGGTAGGTCCTCCTCACAGTGTACGTTTCACCTTTCGCTTGGAATGTGATGATCCTCTGAGTTTGTAGTGTTCTTATCAGTCTAGGCCCAGTAATCTCTTTGCATAATGAGATTCATGGTCGTGAACATCCTCCTGTTTTATTCAATTATGCGCCTGCAATTCTCCACAGATGCTTCCTCTCTTGTTGTTCCCCCCTCCTCCTTCCTGTCACTTTTTTTTTTTTTTTTTTTACACTCTTATGTTAGTGCAATTAGGCATTTACTGTTGGTATTACACAATATGCAATAGTTCCTGTTATAAATTGAGACCACAATGGATCATAATCCAATTAAAACTTTATTAATTATAGCAAGTAGAATATGAGCAAAGACAGCGCTGGACGGCAGGGGAGTCTGCGCTCCGCCAACTGCCGTACTGAGCAGTTCAAACAGTCCCTTTTTATACATCTTTACTTCCGTGTTCATGAAGTAGTGGAGGTACTCTGCATGCTTCAGTTGTTGTTAGGGGGTCGTTTTCTGACCCCTCACTCATATGTCCTTATATGGGGTTGTTTGTCCTGTTTCTGTCGGTTCCTGGAAATCTGGCGGTTATCTTGCACAAGCGGTATCTGGTTTAATTTGTGTAAGCGATTGCGGTTATCTTATCTTACACAAGCGGTGTCTGGTAGCTGTTTGCATAAGCGATTTAATTTTGTTGCCTAGCCTTTACATTGAGCTTAACATAAATCTTAATAAACAATACCCTAGTCCATAGTTTCTCACAGTTCCTATTACAGTTCTCTGAATTTGATGAACAGAAGGTTTACCACCTATCACAGTTTTCTTTGACAACCTACCCAGCATGATCTGATATTGAAGTCAATGTCTATATTTCATTAAGTGCTATAGAAATCAGTGAAGATGCACAATATAAAAATCATCCTGGGACAGGAAGTATGGTAAAATATGTCATTGCATAAAAGTAGGGCCAGATCCTCATATCATTGTGCTAGTTTGAAAACAAACTAGTGGGAGACACCAAGTCAGAATAACAATTTAATAAGGAAAAAAAAAATAAAGGCAGATAACTGGGTTAAACTAACAGCGTCAGAATACAACCTGACACCCTGTTAATCAGGGTGGTGGTAGCAGTCTGGTAGAATGGTGGCTGCAGTCCCCCCGAAGCAGTGATCCCGTAGAGAAAAAAAAGTAGCTCCTGTCCTCTGGAAATCCAGTGGAAAAAAGAGGTCTCTGGTATTCAGAATCTCAGATTATATCCAGGATGGAATGCTGGTTTTCTCCCTCTGGGTGGAGCATCTCACAATGGGATAATGAGTCATGCTGCATGGCATTGATGGGCCATTAACAGAAAGATAGTCTGGAGGAGGGTGGGGGGAGGCAAGGAAACACTGCCCCGCCTGATTTCGACAGCTCATGAGGATGGTAATAGAATACACTGCAACCCAGGACAATCATATTGATCTTAAAGATTTTATTGCACTTAAATAGCAGGACCTCTGTTGACTAAAACAGTACATGACTTCATCTACACATCCATACATAAGATAATAAATATATATCATATATACATACATCCATACATATGATAATAATAAAAAGTTGATATATACCATATATTAACAGTATAAATATAAGAGGAAGTATTAATGTAATAATGTAATAGGCTTCAGTCTGATGTTTACTAGTCTTTGAATAATTGAATTGAATTTTAGTACATTATGATTTTAGTGGGTCTTGCTGGGGTGGAGTTAGTTTTCCTAGCAGTTCATATGATACTGTGTTTTAGGCTGGTTGCCAGAGCAGTGTTGGTAACAAACCAGTGTTTTACCTGTTGATGAACTGTGCTTGCAAAGCATCAAGGTCTTCTCTGTTTCTTAAACTGCCCCTCCAGTAAGTAGACTAGGAGAGGACACAGATGGAACAGCTGATCCAAACTGACCAAAAGGCTATTCCATACCATATGACATCACACTGTAATAAAAGCTCAGGGAAAGGAGGAGGATGCAGGGACATTCACGGTTATGGCATTTGTCTTCTGAAGCAACCAATACACGTGATGATGCCCTCTTTTCCTGGAAAAAGCTAAATACCCACCTGCTGCTGGGGATTAGGTAATGAATTCTTTATTTGCTTTTGCCTGCACGAACAGTTCTGGTTTACTTTGTTTTTATCTCAACCTATGAGTTTCTCTCACTTTCATCATTCTGATTCTCTCCCCCATTCCACTGTTAGGGACTAGATGACCTTCAGCTTTCGTGACACAACCACTTTCCTGGGCAGCCTGTTCAAATGCTTGATAACCTTTTGGGTGAATAAATTGTTCCTAATACCCAATATAAACCTCCCCTGGTGCAGCTTGAGGCCATTTCTTAAGAGCATCTCATGTGAACATGTTCCTGAATGATGCTGAAAACAGATTGAACTTTTCCTTCCAAACTCATATTTTGTGCTTTGCCAATTGTTTCGGGTTTTTTTTTTAACTCAGTGAAACAAATTTTAATAGCACATTATCAGTTCATGTCACTCCTAATCTACTGAGTTGATTTACTCAGGTTCAGCTCTGTTGAGCACATGTCCATCTCTTCATGCACAGGACAACTGGAAATATGTGTAAAACCATTCCTTCTTTTACTATAAAGAGAGATACCACATGTAGTTTTCTGTTCTAAAACTTTCAGTAAGTGTCTGAGGTATGGACTGCAAAACTTAAGACCTATAAATACATGTTAGCTAATAAATAAAGTTAAAGGATAACATTTGTTTAAGTTTCTAGATTCAGATTTCAAATAAGTATATCCTAGGAAGGTATAGAAACACTTGGTTCAGAAATTCAAGTAGGTTTGAATTATATAAAAGAACATATTTATAATTATAATGGGACTATCACAATATATTCCAATCACTATAATTAATGTTTAAAGTTTATTAACAACCTGAAAAGAAGAAAACAAAACATGGGAGAAATGTGAAAGACAATGTCAATTGTATAAAACAGGACAAAAACATTTTGAAGGACCAGGAATAATGAGTGCTGATGCATGCCATTTTAGAAAACTGAAGAATGTGTATAAATAGAAATCTAGTCTTCAAAACCCTGTTTAACGATCTGAGAGAGTAAGTAGGCCTAATCAGCATGGGTTTATGAAAGCAGGTCCTGCAGAACAAACCTGATCCCCTTCTACAACACGGAGACCTGCATACTGGATGAGGGAAAGGATGTAAATGTTGACTACATAGACTTTAGGAAGACCTTTGACACCATTTCCCACAGCATTCTCCGGGTGAAACTGACTGCTCATGACCTGGATGGGCACACGCTTTGCTGGGTAAAAAACTCGCTGGATGGCCGGACCCAAAGAGTTATGGTGAACAGAGTTAAATCCAGTTGTCTGCCAGTCACAAGTGGTGTTCCCCAGGGCTCAGTACTGGGGCCAGTTCTATTTAATGTATTTATCAATAAACTGGATAAGGGGATAGTATGCACCCCCAGTAAGTTTGCAGATGACAACAAGTTGGGTGGGATTGTTGATCTGCTTGAGGGTAGGGAGGCTCTGCAGAGAGACCTGGACAGGCTGGAGCCACGGGCTGAGGCCAAATGGAGGAGTTTCCATAAGGCCAAATGCTGGGGGCTGCCCTTGGGCCACAACAACCCCCAGCAGCACTACAGGCTTGGGGAGGAGTGGCTGGAGAGCTGCCAGTCAGAGAGGTACCTGGGGGTATTGATTGACAGCCGGCTGAACAGGAGCCAGCAGTGTGCCCAGGTGGTCAAGAAGGCCAATGGCATCCTGGCTTATGTCAGCAATAGCGTGGCCAGCAGGGACAGGGAAGGGATCTGACCCCTGTACTCGGCACTGGTGAGGCCACCCCTCGATTCCTGTGTTCAGTTTTGGGCCCCTCACTACAAAAAGGACATTGAATGACTCGAGTGTGTCCAGAGAAGGGCAACAAAGGTGGTGCAGGGTCTGGAGCACAGGTTGTACGAGGAGCGGCTGAGGGAACTGCGGTTGTTTAATTTAGAGAGGATGAAGCTGAGGGGAGACCTCATTGTCCTCTACAACTATCTGAAAGGAGGTTGCAGAGAGGTGGGATGAGTCTCTAACCAAGTAATAAGTGATACGACAAGAGGTGATGGCCTCAAGTTGAGACAGGGAAGGTTTAGACTGGATGCTACAATTATTTCTTCACAGAACATGTTATTAGGTGTTGGAATGGACTGCTCAGGGAGGTGGTGGAGTCCTCATCCCTGGAGGTGTTTAACACTAGGGCTGACAGAGCGCTTAGGAACATGGTGTAGTTGGGTACAGTCAGTGTTAGGTTAATGGTTGGACTAGATGATCTGCCAGGTCTTTTCCAACCTAGACAATTCTGTGATTCTGTAAAATGGCATCCCAGTGAAATCTTCATGATGAGCATAACTAGCAAGTGTTATAAATGTTTCTGTGGAGAGTAACAAGAGAGAAATCTGATAAGATAGAAGTGTGGGTAGAAAGTAATTAAAAAAAAAAAAACACAAAAAAAAAAAAAAAAAAAAAAAAAAAAAAATGTCTAGGAAAAGGTAATCTTAAAAAAGTGATAGAAACAAGGAGACAGGAATAAAGAAACTAAGAGAGCAACAGAGCCAGTAAAGATTTGAGGATAATAGCAGACAACAATTTAGTAATGATTTTACATAATATTGTACTGGAAGGGCCAAAGTAGTTCTGGGATGCTCTGTAGAGGCAATGTGATAATAGGTCTTGTCTATACCACTCCAACATGACCACATTTATGATACTGAATTCAGTTATAGACAACTGTTAGGAAGTTATTTACTCAAGGGACAGAGAAAAAAGAATGAAAGGCTGAAACACTGGTTTATGAGAATACTGAAGGAACTAAGCAAACATACATAACAAAAAAACTGATACTCAGAACACTGGTATCGTAGAAGTGTGCACATACTAGAACATTATGAACATTTTGAAGATAGAAGAATTACTTAGAGGAAGGCTAGAGGTGTAGATAGAATTATCTACCTGAAATGTTGTATCAGTATTTCTTTCAGATGAAACATTTTATGTAGTACTCTGTGGGAGAGAATCTGAAGTCAGAAGGAAAAAACATCCATTTAATTACCCAAAACTAGATTAGAGAAGTAAAACCACCAGATTATCCAATGTCATTGTCTTCAAAGGTTCTCCCAGTTTATTCAATGACACTTTCTAAGGTTGAAATGCCTCTGCATTTCTGTCACACAACACATGGAGCATTTATTTGATGCCTCATATAATCACAGCCTTGAAAAGCTTCACAATTTTTATTGTTCTTTAGTTTGCACCCTTGATGTAGCTACAACTAAAAAACCTGCAAAATCAGAGGAGTTTCCATGGTTTAAACAGCCTAATGGAATTTAGGGATTAGAAATTAAAAGGATGTGAATGACAGAACAATGAAGTGACTTTACAGCAGGATATTTTTTTTTTTAAACCTTCACACTGTTTTCAGAAAAGTTTCATTTAACTGTGTCTTTCTTTATTGTATCATCACTGTTTACATTTTAAAAATAAATATATATATATATATTATTAGTATAAAATATTTCATTTCCTCTATACTAATGCCAGCTCTCTCTCAATGACTTTTAGAACTGGCCTTAAGATAAGTGTAAAATGCCCTTAATATGACAGAGAATCAGACCCATACAATTAGCAACCAACAAGCAAGAATTATTTTCAAACAAGAAAAATATTGCAATAGTCATTTGGTTGCCTTCAAGGA